ACACTGCCCTGAAGTCTGACACACAACTAGCCATGTTGGAAGACAAACACCCACCCATCCCCGATGAAGAGTATTCTGCAGTGTTATTCTTCCATATTGGGAACTGGGGTGGGAACAGGATTTGCTTCAGAGTCTCTCACTGCTAATTTGCGTTAGTAGGGTGAGGTGGGTCGCAAAAAATGATCACAACATTCAAACCACTCAAGGATTGGTTTCAGAGAATCTGGAAATTGTATTAATGACAAAACTAACTTAATGTGAGGTCTAAAAATGTGACGCAACAAATCAGTTTGTTCAGAAATAGACTCTGTGTTTGTTATAGTCTGGAACAGTAAATTCCAAGATAGATTTTAGTCTTATATATCATTTGATTAGCTATACTCTTTAGGGAGGTATGTTATCTATTCTTTTGTGTTGTTTATATATAAATGAAAGCGTTTTGGGGAGAAACCAGAAATGATTCTCGACTGCAAGTGTAGCTCAAGACCCAGATGCAGCAGGGAGATTTAAAACTATACAGATAAATAAGGAACTTCTGATTTCATATGCAGCAGTGCGGGCTCTAAACCTTATCTACAAATCAGACAAAAGTAGCCTTGTGACAGATAAAATGAATATAGCTGGTTAAAAAATAATGATGTTTAGGGTAGGGAGCAGGCAAAGGGTTGCTTGCAGTGGGCGAGAAGGTGCAGATGCTCATCAGGTTTCCTATGAAAGAATGTGGCCATAGTGTTTGTTTTTGAGCCACTGATGCAGGAGGTCTGGGTTCTTAATATGCCTTGCTTTTTTCTAGGTGAGGCACATTTTGTGTGAGAAGCACAGTAGAGCCCTGGAGGCCCTGGAGAAGCTGAAGGCCGGCGTGCGGTTCAGTGAAGTTGCGTCCCAGTACAGTGAGGACAAAGCCAGGCAGGGGGTATGTGCCCATCCCCGTTTTCTGGAATGGTCACAGGGACAGGGTCAACTGATCCAGAGTTGTAGGACAAAGCTGAAGGTGCCACTGGACTCAAACTTGGTCCTTTTTTTTCTTTTTTCTTTTTTGAGCCCCCGGAGGAAGGGGGGGACTACATATATAGGATAAAGCAAAAGAACTCACTACTAACTAAAAACCCAAGGGAGGAGATCAAACTTTGTTCTGTTGCTTCAGTTCAAGACGGTTACCCACCTGAATTGCTCTAGAATGGTGTCACACTTTGTCCTGGCAGACTATGTGAGAAAGTGGGCAGTAAGGATACCATAGTCTTGTTTTGCCTTAGCTGTAGAACTCTTTTCCCCCCACATTCTGCTGGCAAATTTGGGGGCACCGGGCAGCTTGCGATCTGAACTTCCTGATTCAGGAGCGACACCTGGACTGCGGTCACACACACTAAACAATCCACTTTCAGTCCACTTTCAATGCACTTTCCAACTGGGTTTTGCCAGTTCACACAGTAAAATCCAGTTGGTAAGTGCACTGAAAGTGGATTATTTAGTGTGTGTGACTGCAGCCTTTGAGTGGGCAGCAGAGAAGAAGAAGAAGAGATGGGATTTATACCCCGCCCTTCACTTGGAGTCTCAGAGCGGCTTACAAACTCCTTTCCCTTCCCCTCCCCACAACAGACACCCTGTGAGGTGGGTGGGGCTGAGAGAGCTCTGACACAAACTGCTCTTTTTCAAGGACAGCTGTGCCAGAGCTTGTGACTGACCCAAGGTCACATCAGCAGGTGCAAGTGGAAGAGTGGGGAATCAAACCGGGTTCTCCCAGATTAGAGTCCGCGCACTTAACCACTACACCAAACAAGTTAGGCGGACAGACTGTCACTGGCCTGAGATCACAATATCAGGAACCTCATTGCTAAATGTGGATTCGAACCCAGATCTCCCCCATATCAATCCTATACTTTATTCGCTGTCCATGAGTGCCTGGATGTAGAGCCATGTTTACCAGTATTCCCATAGAAAATTGGAAGAGTTTGCCGTTTTACCCTGTTCTATAGACTTTTGACTATGCTGAATGTTCCCCAGGTTTATTTTCAGTTGCCCCCACCAAATCTTCTTAATATTCCTCTTTGTCTGGTTTTGTTCACTGCTTTGTTTCCCTTTTTTCATCTGCTTCAGTGCTGGAGGGTTTTGTTTTGTTCTGTTTGCACTGGAGACAAGGGTTTCTTTCTCCTCCCTGGAGTCATCCCAGCTAATCAGGAATCACATAATAAATTTGATGGGGCTATTATGCCGTCTAGTCAGTTATATTGGGCCATGTGACAATGACGTTAAGGACAAATGAAGCCAACTGAGACCTCCTTAAATCCTGAAGTCATCCCCTCTTCCCAAGAAGGCAGCAAATAAATTTTATTACGTGCACCTCGACTCGACCTAATAATAAAGCAATGAATGAAGAGCCCATTTCCTAACTGTTTCTGTCAACTCTTAACCTTTAGGTGAACATCTGTTATGAAACACATCTATCTTACCAGATAACCCACTGACTTGCCAGTCCTCTAATTGTCCTTTCTTTTCTTTTTTTTAGCACCCTGTGATGGTGCTTTAAAGTTTTATTGGATTGGGGGCTGCCCTTCCCCTCCCCACAACAGACACCCTGTGAGGTGGGTGGGGCTGAGAGAGCTCTGACACAAACTGCTCTTTTTCAAGGACAGCTGTGCCAGAGCTTGTGACTGACCCAAGGTCACATCAGCAGCTGCGTGTGGAGGAGTGGGGAATCAAGCCCGGTTCTCCCAGATTAGAGTCCGCACACTTAACCACTACACCAAACTGAGCAAGTGAAATTTATGGGGTTGGTGATGGAATCTCCTTGTTTTATACAACTGTGCTTTATACAGCACCATCGAAATACAGTGGGTAGGACCCTGCCGGTGTTTCTTCTGGCAGAAGAACCCCACCCCCTCTTATGGCCACTGAAAAAGTTATGCTGAAGATCATGGATGGGGCTGCAGTGAGGATGGGCAAAATTGAGCAGAAAAGCTGGTAGGATGCATCCTGGGTGCTTTGCAGAATGACATGATGGGAAAAGATAATATGTCTCTGTACCCAAAGAGCCTAATGTCTAAGATTCTATAATGGTAGCCTGGTCAACGGGGAGGGAGAGTGAAGGGGGGAAATGGGAAAAGAAAAGGTCTAACAGACCATCCCTCACCACGTGCCAACTATGGCCCTCTGTTTGCCACCTTCTGGTTTCCAACCCATTTAAAGTGGACCACTTGGCACCTACTAGAAGCCATTCCTTTCCTCTGCTGGCTCCCACCTTGTGGAATGGGCTCCCTGAAGAGGGGAGGGGGCATTTTATTTGAGTGGGCTTTTAACGGGGTTTAAGATGCAGGCATTTCCTTGTGGAGGATTACAGCATGTTTTTGATGTTTGGCATTGTAAGATGCCTTGAATCATAAGAGAAAGATATGGATATCTTAATAAATAACAAGGGAACAAAGTTTGAGTCTAGTGACACTTTTAAGACCAACGAAGTTTAATTCAGGGTATAAGCTTTTGTGTGTGCCTACACTCAGGGCTTTTTTTGTAGAAAAAGCCCAGCAGGAACTCATTAGCATAATAGGACACACCCAACAGCAGAAACTCATTAGCATATTAGGCCACAGCCCTGACAGCACAGCTCATTAGCATATTAGGCCACACACCCAAGTTACCAGAAGTGTGGTAATCCAGCCACGCCCACCTTTTGCTTCTTATTCTGTTGACCTTGTTTGTGGTCAAAACCCAGGGTTTTTTTTGTAGCAGGAACTACTTTGCATGTTAGGCCACACACCCCTAATGTAGCCAATTCTAATGCGTTTCTGCTGTTGGGTGTGGCCTGTTATGCTAGTGAGTTCCTGCTGGGCGTGGCCAACTTGGAAGCCAGCCGGAACTCCGTTCCTGTGCGTTCCTGCCCAAAAATAGCCCTGCCTACACTTCTTCAGATGCCAAATAACAAGAGATGAATGTGAGCTGAACATTAGACCGGTCTTCTTGCCACAGTGCCCTGCAGAAAGCGGGAGAGTGTTGTCAGGAGTGGGCGGGGGAAGCCAGTTGATTGCAGCTCCTCAAAATGGAGACAGAGATCTGCGGTTTGTGGATGGAACGACCTTTAGACTTTGCTAAGACCCCTCCCCCTTCCATTACTTTTCCAGGGTGACTTGGGCTGGATGAGCAGAGGCTCCATGGTCGGCCCCTTCCAAGAGGCAGCCTTCGCCTTGCCCGTCAGCAGTATGGACAAACCTGTGTACACAGACCCGCCCGTCAAAACGAAGTTTGGCTACCACATTATCATGGTCGAAGGGCGGAAATAAAAAATGTCCTGCTTGGTCATGGGAGGTTCTGGCTCTTTGCTTTCATTCCATGATGGATGCTGTGGGGCTTTTGCTCTGTTTCGTTTTGGTATCTTAAATCTGGATACTTCTCCCCCACACACACACACACACATCCATTCTCAAAGACATTAGGAAGCCTACCTGAAATCTTTTTACCTGGGGATGCTGGAGACTGAGGTTCTGTATCTGCTGACCTGGATAGGCCAGGCTAGCCTGATCTTGTTAGAACTCAGAAGCCAAGTGGGGTCAATCCTGGCTAGTATTTGGATGGGAGACCTCCAAGGAATATCAGGGTTGTGACGAAGAGGCAGACAATGGCAAACCAACTCTGAAGGTCTCTTACCTTGAAAACTCTGTGGGGGTCTCTACATGTCAGCTGTGAGTCACAGCCTGTGGCTTGACAGCAGAATAAACACACACGTGAGCTTACGGCTTTCTCCTCCATAGACGACAATTTACGGCGAGCAGCACCCTGCTTTTTACTGGAAGCTCTCGGTTTTGCTGCTCTCATTTACCATCATGATACATTTGCTATGCAGAGGAATGACGAGCTATGAGGGGAAAATGTTTTTAGCACGGAAATCAAAGCTAGCTTGCCAGAGCTCAAGAGAAAAGATGCACAGGTGGATTACAAAACTATCTGCTTGGCTGCCTCCATGAATCCATTTAGGACAGGGACGGGAGCCAGCTAAAGGCACAGCCGGAAGCGTAAATCTAATCTGCTTCTTTGTTCAAAATTTATTTATTTATTCACATTTCTACCCCGCCCTCCCAGCCGAAGCCAGCTCAGGGCGGCTTACATGAAATCGGCACATGGTTACAATAAAACAAAACATTTGAAACCGTGCTAAAACCAATTAACAATAACATAATGTGCTAGTGTTCTTGTTATTAAAACAGCGATGGCTACCATATCAGCTCTGTTCCCATAACCGGCTTGTAGATCTCCCTCGAATATCTTGCAGGTGGCTGGCACAGGCTGTTATTACGACGACCTGCGAAGGCAGCGGGCTTCCTATCCTAGCTGTTAGTGGTGGGGGCTGCTCCAAAAGCCTGGCGGAAGAGCCCTGTTTTACAGGCCCTGCAGAACTGTAAAAGACCCCGGGCCCTGATCTCCTCTGGGAGCTCATTCCACCAGGATGGGGCTGCCACCAAGAAAGCCCTGGCCCTGGCTGTCAACAGCCTGGCCTCCTTAAGACTCAGGAGGGCCAATCGGTTCTGGGCCCCTGAACGCAGTACTCTCTGGGGACTGCAGCGACTAAATGGGCTGCAGCGACAAAAGAGTTAACACTGCTTTCCCCCCTTTATAACATAGAATAAAGTCTGAGTCCACTGGCACCTTTAAGACCAACAAAGTTCCATTCAAGGTGTAAGCTTTTATGTGCATGCACACTTCTTCAGACAAATGGAATAAAATCTCCTCAAGGGTTACTTACAGGGGGAGGGGGAGGGGGGACACACAGCCATTAGGAAAGGCCACTCAGAGCCTAGATGCATATGCAGAGCTGAAATTGGATCAGGTGGCCGGTAAGATCAACGGATAGCAGCACATTAGCTCGTAAATGCAAGAGTTAAAGGGATATGAGAATGAAGCTCGAGCTCAGCACTTGTGGTACTTTTAGAACGTTCGGACCACGTGGTACTTTGTCACATGACCAAGCATTCGCTTCCCCCTTTTTGCAACAATTTCAGTTCTGTCGGACGGCGCCTCGGCCAGGAAGAACCTGGCCGTGATTGGCCCCTCTGCTAGAAGGAAGGGCTGCAGTTGGCTGCAGGTTGCCCCGTTCCTCTTGCTGCCTGGATTGTGAGTGAGGCGCGGCTGTAGGGGAGCGGAGCGAAGAATGGCTGCGGGGGCCAACCGGAGAGGGGGCCCGAACCGGGTGAGGAGGCTTCTGGTGCTGGTCGTGGTGGTGCTGCTGGAGTTGGCGTGCCCGGCTGACGCGCTGGAGAACGGGCTGGCGCTGACGCCGCCCATGGGGTGGCTGCATTGGGAACGCTTCCTCTGTCAAACCGACTGCTCCCAAGATCCCCGACGGTGCATCAGGTAGACACTTTTTCTGGGAAGGAATTGGAGTCTTTGTAAACGTTTGCATGGCTGGAGCGTGCGTGGCGCTCCGCACGTGCTCAGGGGCACTGTTGCATTTGTAAATGGGGGCGGGGAGCATTGATCGCGAAGTGTGGGATAGTGGTTAGGATAAGACCTATGATGAAAATCTCTCTCGGCCATAAAATTAACTGGGTAGCATTTGGGCTCGTCCTGCGCTGTCCGTTTAATCCACCTCACAGGGTTGTACTAGAATGAGGAAAGGAGGACCATCTGCTGAGCCCCTTAAAGAACGGCTGGGATAAAAATGCACCCGATACAGGTGAGAAAACGCCCCTGGCCTGGTTCTTGGAGAGTTGCAGCCAGTCAGAAGTTTGATAGTACCAGGCTAGCTTGCCCAACTGTATACTATTCTATTGGAAAATACTGTACTTATAGTGCTGCTTGTTTGTCAATTATCAAAATGTTAATTAAAAAAAAAAGAAGATCATGTACAGTTTAACATTAATGTCTAAGTTAAATGCCATTTGTATGGTTTAGTGGAGACTAGTTTTTCTCTCTCCTACTAAGGGAGTTAGGTTAATAGAGTAAAACTAGGAATATGGTGGTTTTGCCAGTTTGGTGTAGTGGTTAAGTGCAGGGACTCTAATCTGGGAGAACTGGGTTTGATTCCTCACTCCTCCACTTCACCTGGCTGGATGACCTTGGGCAAGCCATAATTCTGCCACAGCTGTTCTTGAAAAAGAGCAGTCTCTGTCACTCAGCCCCACCTCCCTCACAGGGTGTCTGTTGTGGGGAGGGGAAGGGAAAGGAGTTTGTAAGCCGCTCTGAGACACCTTTGGGTAGTGAAGGGCGGGGTATAAATCCAATCTCTTCTTCTTCTGAGTGGCCACTTTGCTTATTTTATTAATTCATTCACTTTATTTTATACTCTTCCTTTCTCCCCACTGGGAACCTGAAGCCTGTCCTTCATTTTATCCTAACAACAACCCTGTGAGGTAGGTTGGGGTGAGTGTGTGACTGGCTAAGGTCACTCCGAGAGTTTCCATGGCCTGAGTGTGGATTTGACCTTGAGTAACCACTATACCACACTGGGCCCACACATTTTGTACGTCGACACGTCACAGACTTCCATGGTACTTTGGCTATAAAGTATACTGTTTTTCTACTTCTGTACTTATGTATGTGTGTTTAACAATTTGTTTAACAATGCCTGTCAACAATGAAGAACACTCATGCGTGTGTTGAAGTGGATTTGAATTCATGAAAACCTTTGCCACAATGAATTTAACATACTACAAGACTTCTTTAAAAAAAATTCTGAAGGTTGCCACATGCTGACTAACAGGGCTACAGACGTGTGGTGTTTTCCCCCTTTACGCATTGTATCCAGTTCTCCTTTCCAAGTAACCTGAATATCTTTGCATGATGATTCAGTGACAGGCACTTTTATGCTAAGAAATGCTGAACTCTGGCCTCTTGTGCTGCAATTATGGGCTATGGTGTCCCAATTTAAGGGAAAGGCAGGCCCATTCTCCTGTAGATGTGACGTGAAGATCTGTTCACCACTGTCTTATGCTTACAGTTGGTTCTAGCACCTGGGTAGTGGGCAAAATTAAAGGCATGAAGCTTGTCTTAGCTTGAAGAAGCAGCATTAAGAAAGTTTCACCTGTTGATTAGGCCCATTTTGTAGGCCTTTGCACTTTTAAAGGTTACTGATATCCCTGATACCTTTGTGACTCCTACTCTGACCCTCTAGAGTAGGAGGTTGTCGTCATGGACTGGCAAATGCCTACACATTTGTCTGGTGCCAGTGACTGTGCACATTTGGTAGGGTGCTGTGGGTGTCTTTGACACTTGCTGGACTCAGGCATACAGAACTGTTCTTGTGTGCTGATGTGGAAATATTTAGATTCAAGTTCTATGTGTGTCAGAAACATAGTTTAGGAACAGACATTGAATTCTGAGGTAACGTGTCCCATTACAGGAAGAGGAAAAATATATCTCGGTTCCTAAGCATCTAAATAAAATTCCTAGGGATTTGAGCAACGGAGGTTCAGGAATCTCTGCTGTCCTGGGTTGAGTGGCATGTCTGATATGGAATTGTCTCAGATACGAATTGTGTAACCTTGGCTAGACTGTGCAAGTCAGACACGAACTTCCAGTTTCCCTTTTTGTTTCAAGGTGGGGTTGCTTAGCTGCAAAAAAACCAGTCTGCCTGTGTGGGCTGACTTTGTTGGGGATTGCCGGTTTTCCCCTTAAAGGTCTATGTCACCTACAATGAAACAGTCATTCCACAGTCTAGCAGGTTAAAGTGATCGGCTGAACTTTCAATGTCCCCGGATGGAACTTACAGTGCCATCCTAAGCAGTGTTCCTTGTACGCTGAGTTAGTGTGAGCTAGCTCACAGTTTTTTAGCCTCCAGCTCACACATTTTTGTCTTAGCTCAGGAAGGAGGGCTCCAGAGCAAACTAATTTATGCAGTAGCCAAATGGCTCGCTCACCACTTTAATGGCAGTAGCTCACAACATAGAATTTTTGCTCACAAGACTCCACAGCCTAGAGGAAGCATTGATCCTAAGAACACTTATCCCAGAAGTAAGCCCCATTGGACAGGCTTGAATAGGATTCTGAGCAGACTTGTTTAGGATTGCTCTCTTAATCACTTACATAATGCTATCAGGAATGTAGAGAAGAGAGCTTTGCACATATTTAAGCTTAGCTTCAACTGGAGGCTAAGAACCAACAAGGCTAAGGCAAAGTTTGAAGTGGGTTTTTGGAGGAATTCGAAAGCTCTTGTCACTGTGGTGTCTGGTATTCATTTACTTTATTAATATCCTGAAGTTCTCCCCAGTGGGGACCCGAAGCAGCCTGTGTTGTCTTCGTCTCCTCCATTTTATCCTCACAGCACTCCTGTGAGGTCGGGCTGTGTGTGTGTGTGTGTTTGTGACTGGCCCAGGGTCACCCAGCAGAGTGGGGATTTGAGCCTAGAGCCTTCCAGGTTCTAGTCTGACACTCCAGTCAATACATCACACAATGGCGGTCTTGAGTATTTTGTAAGGGGGGGGGACCTGGACAGGTTTCGCAGCACTCTTTCAGCTCGTTGACACAGTCACCTAACACACTTCTGCGAGACAGAAATGTTTCACTGGGCATGCGGTTGAGGCAGTGAAGTTTCGATCGAATCGGCCTCCCCCAGCTCAGCTCTCTCTCCACCACTCCCCTTGTCATTGTGCAGTTTTCAGCAACACACGGGCCGTACTACCTCATTTTTGGATAACATGCATTGTGTGCCTATATCACCATCTGAATTCTTTAGTTTAACGTTGTGCTGATAATTGGTTTCAATAAGTAACTTGTGGCATTGTTTTTAACACTGCTGTTACCAGCCCTGAGCCTGCTGTGCAGGTGAGGGCAGGCTAGAAGTCCAATAGAATAGATAAATAAAACAAATTGTAGTCATGATCATAGTAGTTGAGTGGTGACCACTGTAGACCAGGCAAATCTAATGCTGGTGGAATGCGGTCATTTATACAAGCGTTACTCTATTATGAACAAGATCCAAGTTGTCTCCTTGGATTATCCCCCCTTCTCCAAATTCGTAGCTGTGAATATTTAGATCCCACGCAGTACTTCAGTGCCAGAGTACAGATCTCCATGTTCTCCTTTCCCCCTTTCCAGTTCCCTCTAGTTGCTCGTGACCCTTCTCTCCTGTCCCCCTCAGTGAAAAGCTGTTCATGGAGATGGCTGATCTGATGGTGTCCGAAGGCTGGAGGGACGTGGGGTACCAGTACCTGTGCATCGATGATTGCTGGATGGCTCCGACCCGTGACGAGCAGGGCCGACTGCAGCCAGACCCCAAACGCTTCCCCAGTGGGATCGCCAAATTAGCTGACTATGTGAGTGAATGCGTGCTAATCTCTCTCCTCTGCTTCTTCCAGTTCTGGGCAGTTAAGGAGTGTAGGAAGAGATGCTGTTGACATCTTATCCCCTTTTGGGGAAGATGAGAGAGTTTTCCTGACTTGTTCTGTCTTGTCTCTAAATGCAGGCCCATAGAATGGTAGGACTGAAAGTGACCAAGCAGACCAGCCTCCTCCTGTAGGTGCATCCCTCTATAAGAATGACTTAAGAATTCCTGCCTTGGATTAGACCAAAGATCCGTCTATTCCAGTTTTCTGTTACCAACAGAGAACAGCCAGATACTTCTGGGAACTTGGACGCAGAGCATAAAGGAAACTACTTCTCTGTTATCTGTCCCCTGATCATGAAGGAAATAGTAATTCCCTCTTATCTGTCCCGTAGTATCTAGTATCCAGAGTTATACTGCCACTGAATATGGATGTTCCATTTAGCTGTCATAACCACAGATCGCTCCCTGTGTGATTTCAGGGTGCCCCCCAACTGTCCTTTGCTCACCCCCCTGTCTTTTATTATCTAGGATCAGCCATTTCTCAGTCATTTCCCCCCTCAACTAAGCTGGCCATGTGCTTTCTGATCTCCACTTTTAAAGAAACCCAAGCTCTCCATTCCCTTGATCCCGCTGTGTTTGCCTGTTACTGTCCATGATCCAGGTCCACTCCAAAGGGCTGAAGCTGGGCATTTACGCCGATGTCGGGAACAAAACCTGTGCGGGCTTTCCTGGCAGCTACAGTTACTACGAGCTGGATGCGGAAACCTTTGCCAGCTGGGGGGTGGACCTGCTCAAGTTCGACGGCTGCAATTGTAATTCACTGGACCTGTTGGCTGATGGTAGGTGCTGGACTGGAGTTGGGGCCATGAGGTTACAAGGTAGCGTGGCAGCATGGGCTGGAGCTTTAAGTGGAACATCTGTTTGAGTCCTGGAGGCTTCCACCTGGCTGATCTGTCTAGAAATAGGAGTTTAGGTCTTTGACTCCTGCAACTCTAATAAATGCATTACAGAGATGACAGGTAACTGGCCGTTTCCGTCTTGGCCTTGATCCAAAGGTCTTATATCCCACAGGGCACCTTTTTGGCCTATAATTCCAGAGGGGTAGAGTGAAAACTGCTTGCAGCAAAACTAACTAGAAAGTCGGTGACACCTTAAAGACTAACGAAACATATCCCAGCACGAGGTTTTTTGAGTCTGAGATCACTTCATCAGATGCTCAAAGTGTACATCCGCATCAGAGATATTTATATTTAATGTTACAAGCCACAGAAAGGGGGGGGGGGACTGGGGAGATGCTACAGAGAGAGGCCAGTTTGAAACCATAACTGTAATTCATTCAGAGTTCGGGGAGACCTGACTGCTTATAGATGCACTGATGAGACATTCAGATCTAATCAAATAAGGTGCATTGTGAAAGATGATTAAGCAGAATGCATTACCGTCTGTAAAGAGGGCAGCATGCTGAGCTATCATCTCTCATAATGAGTGTCGAAATCCCTTACAGGTACTGTACCTCTTGATGAATCCTAATTCATCACTTCTGCTTGATTATCCCTTTGAACTTTCTGGTAGGACAACAGTAATCTCCTGGCCCATAAAAAACATTCCCTTGCTGATTTCTGAATATTGCATTTTTCAACAGCAGATTTGTGCTTGGACTGCCCTGTTCATCCAGTGTCGAGAGCAAAGGGGCATTGTTGACACATGATGGCATGTATTACATGGGAGAATGAACTGGCATGGTACCCCTGATGTTATTAGGACCTGTAATAGTATTGCCTGAGCTTATATGGGATTGGATCCTATGACTCCCTTCTGCTGAGTTGGAAATGACG